GAAATATTTACGTTTACTACTTTGCAAGCCTACTTTTTTTGTCTACACGGAATGGAAGAGAACTGGTCGGTTAAAATACAAGATAAACAGGTAAAAAAAAATCGTATCTTTGTACAGGGAGATCAAATCATTAATGTGCTCTACTGAAAGAATTAGATGTCTGTTAATAGGGGATGATTTTGGTGTATGAGACTCCTTATATCCTTCAAATAAGTATAGCCTACCAGCTATCAATGTGCAATCAATGTGTACCTACGCCGCTGAGCAAAATTGCATTTAAATGATAAAAATAACAAGGGTCGGTAATAGTACTTGAAAAGATATCAAGATACGAAAAATCGCAGCCGATTTTCAGTTATGAAATTTTTTGATACTCAGCTCGCTTCCGGCTCATATTCAACTAGTAGAAATTGGCGGAGGTTTAACATGGCTGTCTCTTATCTCTCTAGTAACGAATAACAGACGGACAGACAAAACCGTCCCACAAAAGGAATTTGTTTCCCCTAAAAAGCAGGGCATAAGGCAAACGAATCGAAAAGAAACAGATAGTAGGTTTCTTTCCTTTTGGAACTAGGGATAATTGCCAGAAAAAATTTGTTGACCGGGACGGGAATAATCCTAACTTTCAAAAAAATACAGGGTGTTCCTAAATATGATGTAAATAGGGAAGGGGGCTTATTTTATGACTAAAAGTTCATAATAAACATAGGACCGTAAACCCTTCGTTACCGACCTACAGGATGTTACAATTTCAAGATTTTTTAAGTTTTGTCTTTATACCTCCTGTAATTTTTGAGATATTTCCCTCAAATAAGTATAAAAAAAATAATTGAAATATAAGTTACACTGAAGGGTTTACATAATTGGTCATGTCAATAGTGATAGAATCTTTCTGTTTTTTCAGGGGTCATGTTCCATTTTCTACTACTGAACTTTTCATCGGTGCGGAACTGGTAGATTGTGAAACAAGAATTTAATTGAGAATCTTTTTGATCTTTGGTAATCTTTTCGTATTTGTGACCGCTTGCTAAATAAAACTACAATTTTTAAAATGGTCCAGTAGACTCCGGCTTTATTTGGATAATATCTTGTTTGTATTAGTTTTGATAGTTGGCACTGAAAATTGTACCCTCTGTTTGCATATTTTTTTAAGGTTCAAATTGAAAAGTGTACGGTGGAACTATAACACCCTGTATATCGGTAACGATAGTCTTTTAGTCATAAAATAACTCAAAAATTAACCGCTTCTATATTTAGGAATACCCTTACATTGCAGTATGTTAAATGTGGATTTCTTCATAGATGTATTGTTTAGGAGAGATATTTAAAAGTAAGCAATTTTCTTGCCCTTAGGGTACTCGCCCCCGCGGAGAATACTTGGGCCTTAATTTTCAAAACCTCGTTCTTGACACATCTGCAATACGTAACCTATGCAAAGTGGTCGAGTCCGCCCAAATGAGATGCGCAACCAAAAGCAACCAGTAAAATTCCATCCCCATACCAGAGCTTATGCTTAAGAATATTCGTCTCTTCCTCTAAGGAAACTCGGTCGGAGAGAATTTTCTCCACACGAAATAGGGTGAACGGCACACCCTGTATTTTATACTCGTGGACTGTACAGACAATTTTACACCTGCTAGGTACGTTGTTTTTGATAGTTTAGTTTTATATGAGGCTGATGAAAAACATAATCTTCTATTCAAGCGTACATTGGCAAATTATTGACGTATGAAAGATATACTGTTGTGTAAACTACGTCATGCGGACGTTTTATTTGGTTTCAGCACCTACAGTAAAGTTAGGTCACCCTCTATGTGTTTAATATAATTTATTTTTGACGTTAAATGTGGTTGCTAATTTAGAATGAACACAATTTCGATCATGTTATTCGAATTTGAAGCCAATTATGATTTGTCCGTTTAAATTTATTTAATAATAGAAAATTTTTGTTTAGATAATCGCTTTGTTTACCTTTTTGAAACGCTGAATTACGTGTAAAAAGTTAATGTTCATCTACATGTGTTATTTTAAAGTTTATCTCCGCTCATTGCGATAAGAATTTATTGCTGCGCAAATCTAATTAAGTATAAAGGTAAGCAGGTTTCGCCGATAAGAAAACACATGTGTTTAATTAAGTTCGACGACGCGACGAAGCTTTTTTGTTTTGGTGGAGGCTTTTGGTGTTGGAAAGTCTGTCGTAATTGAGGGTTTTGTTGCACGACAGTCGGTCTAGCTAATTGTAAAGTCTTGGTGATAGAAAAGATAGTGTTTAATGGGATTTTATTCCGTCGTTTAAAGTGAATGTTTATTTTTATTAAGCGGAAGCGTCTGTTTACGTTTACGAAAAAGTTAGTCGACCCGAGTGCTGTGTTTATCGAGCAAAAAGGATGTCTTTTTTCCACCATCAAAGAGCCAATGCCACATCTGTAATTATATCGAACCCAGTGTCGTCTGAAACAAGATTCAAGTGCAAGTTCTTTTAATTAATTTGTTCAATCGATCGCAATATCAAATATCAAACAATAATTGGATAAATTGGACAAAATGGATTTTTGTAGAGTCAATACAGAACTATTTTGGTTCATTCAAGACCACCTAGATTAAAAACAAAATGTAATTATTTTGTAGCCCAACCTCCTATTAATTACCGACAACAATGCAGCCGATGTAAAATTAACTGTAGATTCCAAAACTGTAAAAATATACAGGGTTCTACGGTCCATTTTCTCTTTGGCTGATTTATCTTCAACTTCACCCAATTAGCTCTGCCAGCCGTTCAACATACAAAAATACAGAGTGTGTCATTTAAATTTCGAGTCACTTCCCGTTAAACCGAAAGTGGTCGGAAAATACTATGTCAAGCACGCAATTCGCTTTTACTCATATCTCCCACCAAAATTTTATATTCGTACTGTCAGTTCCCCCAAAGACATAAAGGTGATTCTAATTTGGTTTACACAAAGTATAACATACATGCTATCTTAAATGGCAAATTTGTTGGTAATTTGAGTGAAAGAATGGCTCGCGCTGTAAAAACCAAAACCCAAAAGTATAAAACAAGTATAAATTGTGCACAGGTGTTGTGCAGATAAAGCGCATTTTTTTAACCGAAATAACTTTTGTTTTAACATCACAAATGGATATATTTCTTGCACACGTCTCAATCGTCTTTTGTGACGACCCTCTTCCGACAAACCGTTCTTGAGGTATAAGGGAATATACTCGATCACGATAAGAGGCCGAGGAGGAGGGCTGTGGTTGGTAGAAATTAATTCCTTTCGTTGAGACCTTTCATTAGAGTACCATGAAGGATAAAACTAGTTCCACTCCCCCCCCCTCCCCTCCACCGCGTACTTGGATAAGAAGACAAAAAGAAGGGTAGTAGTTGGTAGAAAACGGTTCCTTTCGTTGAGACCTTTCATTAGAGTACCATGAAGGATAAAAGTAGTTCCACCCCCCCCCCCCCCCCCCTCCACCGCGTACTTGGATAAGAAGACAAAAAGAAGGGTAGAAAACGGTTCCTTGTTGAGACCTTTAATTAGAATAAAATGAGCGATAAAATTAATTCCCCCCCCCCCCCCCTCAGGCCTCGTCGCTCTATGATCTCGGAAAAGAGTCGCACGGGAAAGTTATAGTTTGTACAAACCAATTTATTTCGATGAGACCTTTCATTAGAATACCATGAAGGGTAGAACATGTGTTTACCCCCCCCCCCAAATCTAAAGTTTAACTTGGCACCACTAAAGGCATGCGTATGCAAAATCTGAGACCAATTGGTTGTCGTATGTAAAACTTATGGACGTTTTACTTTCAAAAACAGCATCTCAGGAAATAATTCGTGGGGGGGGGGGCTTATAGACAGCGAAATTTAATGGCCGTCTGGCACACCTTCAAGGAATAGGCTACCTACTGTAAAAAATTGCAGGACTCTAGGACCATTCCCCTAGAAGTAGGGGTAGAAGTGGGTCCGGACGGACGGACAAAACGCAAACAATAGCATTTTTTTTTATTTCTTAAAAAATGCGCTAAAAATACTCTTCAACCATTTGCACAAGTGCGATTTGTTTCTAAACTGTGAAATAGTAAAACAGAAGATTCTTTTATTTGGGCCGATCTGACTGACAAGCGGTTATTTAAAAACACATTTTTTTTTAAATAGAGCATTTTGATTGGCCCATCCACCTGAAAAACAAATTCAACTCATTTCAAATTTTTGTTTGGTTTAGTATTGCTTTTATGAACATAAATAATTTTGTTATCGTCGACAAAAATTGATTAGAAAAATAAATATTTCTTGGAGTTCTCTTGGCTTTCTGGAATCGTCTGAAACCAGGAATTTTTGTGTTATACAGGCTCTAGTAATCTAAATAGCAGTGGAAGCGTTCGGGGGGGGGGGTCAAATTGGTCCCCACGTTTTTTTCGGATCAGCACAAATGAAAATTGAGTCAGCACAATTTAGGCCAACCCTAGCACTATTTAACAATGTTCGTTATTTTGGTTTAAATTGCGGGGGCTTAATTGCCAATTTTTTTAGGGGAAGTTGAAAAATTGCAACCATTAAATTGAACAAACAAACCACAAAGTAGGACATCATCTTGACCGGTAAGTTTTGATTTCATTTTCTAGGACAAAAACAGTCTTATTTAATCAGACTTGCACCACATCAGCATAAATTTAAATGGAATCTTTGTCTTAACATCTTGAAACAAGTACACTTAAGTGGTTAAATGCCTCCATCTGCTATGCTAAAAATATCCCACGCAGCTGACAACGTAGAAGTTGTGCGCGTTAAGGCAGTAATTCTTACATTTGTGGAATAATTCAAATTAGAGCCCAGTCAAGAAACTGGTGTTTACCGTCATATTATTGAGACGCACTTACAAATGTAAACATACGTTGTTTATTATGAGTATCCACAAGGTCTTTAATTAAACTTGATCAGTTGCAATTTAGCTTAAGAGGCATGTGTAAACAATTTAATAAACGTAATTAGTACTTACTCTTCGGGTAATGTTTGAGCGCCTTCCTCTTGTCCTGGAGCGTTAACGTGATACACGCAGAAGTTTTCCAGTAAAGCTCTCATGTCAACGTAGTTGAAGAAAGCTTGAAAGCTGGATATGTCTAAATTTAGAAAAAAAAGTTAGCCTCATTTAACCGCGAAGGGCACATTACGTACAATTCAATCCCAAATCGTGGTAGGTCAAAATCGCCGGCTTGTTCCTGGATCCTTGAACCGCTACTACGATCGGTCCGCGATCAGTTTCCACAGTTTCCTCGTGAGCTGATGAGTCGCCCCTGGATAGCGATCGAGTCGATGGGAATTGCAGTTGGATATTTTTTAGTTCGATGTCATCCATACTGTCAGAAGGCATTGTGCTGTGGTAATAGAAGAAGTAATGAACGCACAATTTCAGAGTAAACACGCGAACTTGGATGGTCTTTCGCAATACGCAAATTAAAAAATATGCGCCTACACCTATCTGTGCTTACCCCAAAAGGGCGGCTTCCTCGGCTGCACCTGAAGCGGGCATCGTTCTATTATTGTTTACAGTAGTCGTTGAACTATCACTCCTAAAACAAATTGAAGCAGAATAATCTACGGGTGCCTTCGAGTTTTTGTAAATAATTGAGAAGACCGGTGCACTTGAAACGATTTCACTGTCAATGATGAAATTATTTTTAACCTCCCCTCACGGTTTCTCACTATGAAAGCGCACCTACTCCTCGGTATTGTTACGTACCCCTCGTCCATTTCGCTACGAGATTAACTGCTATGATACTGGAGCGCGATCTGGCACGTTCGAATTTGTGTTTGTAAGTGACTTTAAAGTCATTTTATCATACAATTACAACCTACTTCCCCACACTATGATAAGCGTTATCATCTTTTTTTGCTATAAATTAAATAACAAATTGATAAACCTATCGCGTCATATTCAGTTTGTGAATAATGAATTTTCTGAATTCCTACTAACTACTGCTTTGAGTTTGAGCAAAAACCGTAGCAGCCTTCTGTGTACTCTGCTTTCACGCCAACGAACAAATTCTTCAAAACTGGATTAACATTTTTAATTTGAAATTACGTCTTTTTCCTTTCCACAAACCTAATTGTCTTAGATTCTCCAATTTTAATACGAAATATACACCAGTAATGAATAAGTGAATTAAAAAAATGATAGATTTACATACCTTTGTTTTAAGGAAGTAGCAAATTTTGGAAAGAGAATATTAGTATGAAACCAAGGCACTTGACACTAGCTACAAATTCAACTGACAGGTGACAAAAAAGAAGTAGTTTTCTTTTGAAAAGTCGTATGCAAAACCATTGGGTTCTTAAACACATAAAGAGTTCCCAAATAAATTTTCGTAAAATTCTGATCATGTTTGTTGTCCGGCCAAAAATGCCGTTTTATTTTTACCTAATTTGGTACCGAGCTGTCTTCCTAATGAACGCACATTGATTTTGATATCATATGGTTATTGAAGCTCATCCAGTTAATTTGTATGGCCATTCTTAAGGAAATTTAGAGCGGGAATACGATTTCGCATCTTTTAATAACATTTGTGTTGCCGTCGATCAATTTATAAAAAAAATACTAGCCCCTACGGGCCTATGTAACATCCTACGTCAAAATCAGCATTAGTCTGGCGAAATGTAGAAAGGCTAAATAATATATAGATTAAAAAAAATTCAGGATCGACCGGGAATCGAACCCGCGCCGTCCGCGTGTGAGCTACAACGATTAAACGAACGACGACGGCTTGCATCTTAACAGAACGGATTTCAGTTTATTCTGATTTTGTTCATCAGTAACACTTTCCTTAAAGATTTTACTACATTCTACATTCCCTGATATTTCTTTCAGCTATTTTTTCTTAATTTCTTACGCGAGGAATAAAATTCTTTCGATTGCCAAAAAAAGATCACTACTTCTCCTGATTTCAATAATACGAAGTAACAATTTTCTCAAACCCTGCATTGCGTTTTCCTAAAAACTTCCAATTTCACCGTATTTTCGTCAAATTTCGTCTACTTTTCAGATAATTTTCTCTGCGGGGGACAACATTTTCCATCGTTCCCTAAAAATTGTCATTATTGAGAGCAATTTCCTCAAGCTTTTTGGTTTTTGCATTGCCTTAATTGTTTCCAATTTCTAGATGAAATAAGTAAAAGTTTCTTTAAACGCTGCCTTTTATACAGGGTGAACATTTTGTTTGGAACACTGAATACAGGCTCTTTCACGCAAAACCGTTATCTAAAAGTATTCAGGCTTTCATTAATAATAATTCAAATCTGAAAATTTGTATACCAACTTACTTTCTTATGATCTATCGAAAGGAAATATTATCATGATCGTTTCACTTCCGGTTGTAAACTTGTTATATTACATAAGCAAATTTTAGAGAAAAACTCAAATTAAGGAATTTGGTTGGGTTGAAACAAAATACGTTCTTCTTTTGTTAGCTATGTGAGAACAATTAGTACAAGATCCCACATAAAGGGGAACCTTCGCTCATCTGTTTACCGAACGAAACAATTTTTTTATCAATCTTAATATGTAAGCAAACACATTGGAAATGGGTTGCCTAAAAAAATTAAGTGAAGTTTACCCTTAATTAAAATTAATATTTCGGTCTGCTTCTATCGCGCATGGAGAGAGCGCATGCGTACGGTGCGTACGTCATGAGCAGCTGTTACGCTTACAGGGTAGTCTTGAAAAATTTTTTTGGCAACCCATGGGTAATGTGTTTGTTTACATATCAAGATTGCGAAAAAATGTATTCCACTCGAGACAACACAAAACAGATGAGCGAAGGTAGGCCTTATGTGGGATCTTAGACTAAATGCAATAGGTAGCCTATACCTAGAAGGTGTGCCACACGACCACAAAATGTTAGCGAAAAAAAACCAATAGTTGGAAACCCTGTTGGAAACGGTTGGTTTCAACCATGCGAGAATACCTATCGGTGAAATTTTCCATTTTCCAGGAAATTTGTCCGATAGGTATTCATCTATCATCTCAGATAGGCAGGACACACACAAAAAATCGAGAAACATAAGCGTTTTGCATTTCCATTAGGATACGCTAATAACAGATATCAAGAGCACAGTGGGTTGCTGAAAATGTCATTTGCGAGTGTGTGAAGAATTTGAAGATTCCGAAGAATCAGAAAGATTCGAAGAAACTGAAAAAACCCTGAACAATCTTAACAATTTGAAGGACTGCAGGGCCAAGAATAAGAAAAAATTAAGAAATCGAAAAAATTAAAAAAATACCGAAAAATCGGATGGCTTCGAAGGTCTTTACGAATCTTAAGAATCTTATGGCGTTGAAGATGTAAAAAAAATCGGAAAGATTCCAAAATATGAAAGAGTCCAGATAATCATAAGAACTGAGAGTTTTGAGGCATAATAAACAAAAAAAAAATCAAAAAGACCTGAGTAATGTCAAGAACTGGGAAAAACTGAATACTCTTGAAGTATGGGGATTGATTAACTGGAAGTATTCGATGAAATAGAAGATTTTGACGCCTAAAGAAACTAACGAATTACACAGCTCTGACAGTCGGACAGATCTGAAAAGTGCAAAGAAACGGAAAGATCCAAATCAATGTAGCAATCCGAGGTATTGAAGTAAAGAGTCGAAAAATTTATAGAAGCCAAAAAAGTTCAAAGGATCTACGAAATCTAAAGGATCGGAAGAATTCACTTGATTTGAATGAAAAGAATCGAAAAAATATTGAAGAATGAAAAATTTGTTGAATGCTTGAGGACTCTTAAGAGGGAAAATTAAAGATCCGTTGAAAAGGAAAGCTTGACAAATCTGACGAAACGGCAATATCGGACAAACTGGGGAATACATCCGAAAGAATGGAGGAATGTGACAGAACATGTAGCTAAGCGGGCGATTATTATCAATGGTTCCTGACGCTGTAACTTAGACAATTTGTAGTGAGTAAGTAATGACCGCTTCTATTATAAAACAACTGCAACAAACCATGGATGATGTTCACAAAAGGTTCAAAACAGAATAAAAGAAAATTTTTTAAAATCTATAAGAGTCCAAGTGATTTAACAATTACAAAAAAATAACAACATTTTTTAGTTTTTGAATCTTTATAATTTTTTGAACTATATTTGTTATACTTTTGAAAAGAAAATTTAATATGGTATCTTTTAAGATTTTTTACTTCACCCCCGTATACTTATTTTAAAACGGCAGATTATTCAACAATCATTATAGAGAAACGTTTGCATATAACACTTTTCTGCAACCCTTTTAACTAAGGAAATATAGGGCCATTCTGAAATTGACAATTTTTTGATTTTCACCTGTATCTTTTAAGTTAAGCGAACAAAAATGTTTAACTTTTGATTTTACGATTTTAAGTTTGACTCAAAAATGGCGCCTACATTACTTTTTTAGCACTAGCAATTACGGAGATACCAGATACATTATAACAGTGTGTGTCGAAAATGTAACACTCTGTACAAATGGATTGGAGGAGTAAAACGCCCCTTCGATTCTTCCATAGATATCAATTGTAATTTGGGATTTCCCAAGCCAGCACTCTCTCAAAATTCTAAATATCTATGGCAGTTTTAGCGAATGCGATTAGCTATACCTACGAGAGATAGGCTCACGACAAGTCTGGATCCCAAGAAGAGACCAAGTTTTTTTACTCTTAACTACTAGTAATGACCAGGGTGTTCCATATCGAGTGAGATTGCATGATAAATAAATAAAATTGCGCAAAATATTGTAGTTTTGTGCGGTTAAAAAAATTTGAAAATTCAAGTGCGATTAGAAGAGAGACAAAATATGATGTCAAAATGAGTTTCAAGGTTATTGCCTCAATACTTAATTTTTTTATTATTTTTAAACAGGTGCTCATCAAAACCCTAACTAAACCTATTTGAGTAAAATGTCAAAATAATTAACTTTTATATCAGATTTAAACAATTAAAAAAATGTTCAAATGATACAAAAAAAAATTTTTTAATCTTTTTTGAATATTTTTGAATTATTAAAATTTTCTTGTTATATGATGTTTGAAAAGAGAATTTAATCTGCTATCTTTTTAGATAGCAATCCAATTATGCAACAATCATTACAAAGAAACTTTTGTAATAAAGAAATTTCCAATAATTTAATAGACAAAAAAGGTATAGGCTTTTTACTAGGGCTTTTATCTAAAAATCAAAAAATTGCAACTAACTCTAAGTAAACAAAAAGGTAAGCAGAATTCGGAATTATTGAATCTCCGAACAGTACTTCAAAAATGTTCATTATGCAAGTGGAACAGAAATGCTACCCCAGATTGTTTACATATACCAACCATATACGAAACCCACAAAAAAATCTATTGCTTGTTTTAAATAAAAATGTCGAAGAATTAAAGACAAAATCGTATAAAAATGTCTTTAGAAGGACATCCATCAATTTAAAGCCATATGCAAAAGAAGATGCCTATCCCGTTCCGTATGTGTCGGCGGTATTAGATATTAACTCCCTGCGGTATTCCTTCACTTTACGAGTTTCAAAAGATGATATATCGCAATGTAACATAGAACGCTTAGTAGATTATTTAATCAATAAAAGCGTATCCATACGAAAAGCTTCTTACAATGTTTTTTTGACTAATTAACTACCTACATTGTGATAATGACCGGTTTAGCAAAAGCGAGTAGGGGATTTAACCCAAATCTTGTGATTAATCGACCGACAAAAGCGTTTCTAACCAGATTTACTGACTGATTCATCTAAAACAAATATAAACCTATTGTTTCTTAGATTTTTTTTAATTTGTGCGTAATTAAAAATTAAATTGTTCTTATTGGCCAAAAAAGTAGGTATTTCGCTTTCATAGTGAGAATATATTTCAAACGTAGGCGTCTACGAAAAAGCAAAAATATCGACCGTCGGCATGTCTTGAAAATTAAATCATTACTAATAATGTAGAAGGTGATGATCTAAATACTAACAGTAGTGGCATGCTAATTGCGCATGCGCACAGCTTACCTGTCGAGGATGGAGAGTAGGACCGAAACTGATCCAAATGACAAACATGCCAAATACAAAAACGCTTAACAATAATTAAAACATAACAAAACAGAGTAAGCATACCTACCTTGCCGGAACGACTTCTGGTTTTCTTTCTTCCCTTTGGAAAGACAGGTTAAGGGCCTTTTTGACGGTCGCCATAACTCCCGTGGTATTATTATTCGCAGCGAACGTCGTCGTACAGTACACATCCTTCGTGCCTACTAACGACTGATACGAACCACCTGTGCTGCCCGGCATGGCCACTATGTTATACTAATCAACAATTCAAATCGACACGAAACAAGGCAGGGAAATTTTGAACAGTCCATTTCCGCAATTGATCGTAATTAAATATACTATGGGCAAGGAGTTCCACAGGGAACAATATTTGGGCCTATTTTCTGTTTAAAAAATATTCTGATTCTGAGCGACAACTTTCTTCCGAGGTACATAATAGAATTTCGATGTGGCAAAAAAATCATGCACTCATTACTAAATTTACTGAAGCTGTTGAGATATAATCCAAAACATAGTATTTATCAAATAATATTGCAATTATTTCTTTTAAATTTTCTAAAATAAAAAATATAATACGAAAAGCGTCCTTAAGTCGAAGAAAAGGTCATATTTGTCGTGAGTTTGATTAAAAGCCTTATCGCGGCGACCCTTTGATGCGCTCTTATAACATGAGAAATAATTAAAGCGAATGATTGATTTGTAAATATAAACATTGTTTGTATCTTGTTACTTTATAGATAACAGAATAAAATGTGGTACTTTGTAATAATTGGTAACATTTTTTGTTTTGTTTTTGAGTGATTGCACCAAAATTATTATTAATATCGTAATCTTTGTATCGGACGATCCAAATGATGCAACCCAGTAATAATTTTATGCTCTGCAACGAGCGATGTAACGTAGCTTTAAAGACACTTTGAAAAACGCAGATCATTTCTGACAGATAAAGGGAATTAAGTAGTTTCGACTGCTACCAGCTGCAGCATTTAAATTTGTTCCATTTGGTGCCAGTCACGCCATTTACATATTCACCCAAAATCGTCCTGAAACCTTCATTTTCATGCCTACTTTCTGTCAGGCAATTTGAGTTTCCATGACAGGCTCAGAACAGACTTTGTTTCCTGCCGCTTGTCACTTTACTCTACTTTACTGGCCGGACAAAAGCTTTATATACAAATTGAAATGTTATATTAAAATACGATTTCGGGTAAAATTTAATACAAAACTCGTCAGTAAAATGACATTACCTGACTCGGAAATTAAAGTACTCGGCTCCAAGGGGTCTCGCACTTCAATATTTCCTCGCCAGTTTTATGTAAATAACTATTCCTCTGTAAAACTGATTAGTTTAGTTATGGTTAATTGGGTGTCATACTCATAGGTTTCATTTACCTTGTTCCTTCTTTTGTCATTAGAGGTCACGTTATGTACCTTTTCAGCATTTAATGTTGTTACTTTTTTATTTAATCGTGGCGTGAGTACAAACTGTCATTTTCCATTGTTAATTAGTTTTTGAATACTTTTCAACTTTTGTTAAAAACATTGTTGTATTTCCAACAGTTAGTGAAATATGGCCAAAAAAGTGAAAATCGGCCACCACTTTCCAAGATGGCGGCTGCAGCACAACATGGACGTGTTGATTTTTGATATGTGTTGTTATTAGCTGCTAGTACTACACATACCTATGCCAAGTTTCCCCTTTTACGGAATTATTTCCAGATATTTTTGCCAAATATGACATTGCGCATGCGCACATCTGCGGTGAGCTTGTTTTTATTAGAAAAAATTGCGGTGAAAATTTCAAAAAATACTTCTATAAACAAGAAAATTGACATTGCATAGTCTGCGCATACGCACATTAATCGTCTTTCTTGGTCGAGGTACCATATAAGGAATGCAAAAAGAACGAACTAAATATCCTGATAACTGTAGAGTAGCTAAAAACTCGAACGGACGGAAAAAGTGGCCATAATAAGCGCCTTCCAACATGAGTTTGAAAATGCGCCGAAATGCAAAAAATATTGCAAATGTAAGGAATAAAACATTTGAAATAAGTAGATAGTGATTAAAAATAGTTCGAATTTACTTTTAGTTCAAAAGAGTCATTTGCTACCTCAGTGATGGTTTCACTGGCAATGTCGATGATGGAAAAAAATCACAAATTTATTTTGTAGAAGCTGCTGTTAAAATACATTCTGAAAGGTATCAAAGAGATATTTTAAGCAACATGCTCAATGATAATGAAAATAGCTGTAACTTCACCTTCCAACAAAATGGGGCACCATACCATACTTCCAGACGTACAATCTCAGGGAAGGAAAGAGACAGGAGGCATAAACGATGGTCGTAAAGTGAAGCAAATGTAATATCTTTGCACACCAGTAACAGGGTCGCCTACAGTTCATTGGCGTACCTTAGATACATATCGTAAATACAAACGTATTTGAACAAGTAGAAATTGTGCACAACACAAGAAACGAACCGATATGTTATAAATGTATGCATAACTTTTCTGTTCATTATAGCATAACACAGTAAGTACAATGGCCAATAAGCAACTTGTCAAGAAATGCAACCAGCTAATTGAATAAACAAAAAGTAAACACAATTTTGAAACACCGAGAATATGGCCGCCACACGGAAATTTGCTTCAACGCGCAGCACTTGATCGAATATTATCAGTCCGCCTCTTCCATAGTCTAAGCGTACAATAACGTATTTGCAAGAATACAATGACACATCCGTGACTCGACACTCTGACCGCACCGATAGAAGTGTCTTGTCCAGACGTTCCATTTTCTCTTTGTGAATTCCTTTCTCGAACATTCCGTTCTGGATATATTCGCATTCAAACTTTTGACCCGACCAATAGAAATGTCTCGTCCAAATGTTCCATTTTATTCTTGCGAGTACCTTTCGACACTCCGATACTATTATTGAAAGCTTTGATCCCAGAAATTAAAAGGTAGGGAAGAAGGGTGGTACTTGGTAGAAAAAAAATCCTTTCGTTGAGACTTATCCGTTAGAAACTCGGTTAGAAACAATTAGAATTTACTTTGTATCATCTTACACTACGTAGAATTTTGTTAGGACATGCGGATGATCTTGGAATCTGGAATATTCTGAGGTTTGTTTAAAAGCTTCTTTAGGATCTTTCTACAATCTTTAGAGCGTTTAGAGTGTACAGAACTTTCACCTTTTGAACTACAGGTCGTAACCTTTTTGAGCTCAGAAAGGGTGCTTTTTTGCCTTATCTGTAACTGATAAAAACAAAAAAATAAGAGGGATAGTACATTTCTAAACAACAGCAATTCATTCAAAACGCCAATAAACTTGCACGAACAAATTCTTCGTAATCCCACAAGTAACTTAAATTGTAGATATCGGTTCCGAAATAGGTGTGGATAACTTGAAATAGTATTTTACATTATTAGCCAGGTAAGTGAGTTTTTACTGGCGATAGGAGAAGTTGACTAGCGAGCCGTTAGGCGAGCTTGTCATCTCCTAGAGCCAGTAAAAACTATTACCTGGCGTATAATGTACAATATTTTATTTGTTACTCATTTGTAAACGTAGATAATTAGTTCTTAAATTGATCTCGAAGAAATGTCTAAAATATCATGTTATCCATGTAACAGAGACTTCGCATTAATTCTGGCCAATGAAATTACTAGATTACTAACTTGTAAAATTTTTACAGGTCTGCTGTCAGTTTTACAGGTCTGCTGTCAGTTTTACAAGTCAGTAGCGTTTAAACATGACGTTTACCCGTTTGCGTTTTGTCTTGTTAATCAACGTTTACAACTGAGTAACAAATAAAACTAATTTACAAAGCACAGGTAACTAACGTGTAACAAACTAATCCGAAGGATAGAACGTAATCAAACTAACATGAATGAATCTTCGGAGCGACAAAAGTAACGTAGGCGAAAGTGATTTGTCGGAAGGTGTTTTTGGTAACGACAAAAGTAATGTACGTAGAATTGGAAGTATCGAAGCAATTCACGATAATCTTCAAAAGGTTTCGTAATAGTTTATTCAAATGTAAACAACTTCGATGTAAGTAGGTCACTTGGTAGTATAATTTCTATGTAGACCAGGAGTACTGTGTCACGCGAGGCCTCCAATGTCCACTAAGATGGTGGGCACCTACATGTAAAAATGCGAAGTCATTCAGTTTCTGCGTAATATCGAAGGCGTTGATGTAGACAGCAATAATCAAATAGATATAATGAAGAAAAGAATACGCTAGCAATAAAAAAAAGCGATATACGACCTTAGAACTTGTAAATATATTCCCAAAAAAAGTGCGCACACAGAAGAAAATGCTAATTACGAAATTACATTTGCACAATCTCTATCAGGAAAATAAAAAACTATTGCAATATAAAATCTACTACAGAACTAATTTACATCTAAACTAAACGGAATTACAGATGAAATACATAGATGGCGTAAGAATACTAAAAGGAATATAGAATATGCTATGGAATTTTAAAGTGTTATGAAAAGAATGGTATAGTATAGTTAAAATCGAATATGTGCATGCGTAGAGTACTCAAGGTCAATTTTCTTATTTATAGATAATTCTAATAAAAGTAAACAAATCGCAAACAGTAAAAATGTGCACATGCCCAGAATGCGCAAACTTTCTTACTTCGACATAATATATTCTCTTTAATTTGTACTATGAATGTTTCTAATAAAGGTAAACATATCGCAAATAGTAAAAATCAAAAGTGCGCTTGCGCAGATTGCGCAATGCCAACTTTGAATTCTTTGTATTTTTAACCATGGATTTCTAGTATAAACAAGCATGTCGTATAATATATCAGTCAAATATGCGCATGCACAGACTGCGCAATGTTAACTGTCATACTTCCAGACATATTTATTAGAAATTTTAACCATAACTGGTTTTAACAAAACAAACGAATCACCGTGGTTTACAGTCAAATACGTACATGCGCATGCGCAGCGTAAACTTTCTAATTTATGAAGAGATTATCGTTGAGTGACTCATATTTAATTACTCAATGATATTACTTTCAGAACTAGGCTTGTGTAGGGTAGTACTGGTCTGTACCTGGAAAATCCGCTAAAGTTACTCGCCTTTTTGTTTGTTTGTGATTTTTATGTGTGATATACGTTACTTTATACTTTAGTTCCCATTAAAAACATGGAAATGCGACAGGAACGACAGTTTTAGCACTTTCTTTAATTGGTTCAATAAATCTCTTTAATGTTTCAGAGCGATTGTG